TAAACACATTATTACTGAATCACTGTTTCTATCTGGACAGACGAACACCTAATAGTGTAGAATCTACACAAGTCTATTCACTTGTGTTACACATTGAATATCTGTAAGCAGTAATACAAGAATGTATGAACATTGTTCAGTTTTTCTTTCTACTTTTTTTTTTTTTTCAATCCACTGCCCTGTGAATGTGTCTTCTTGGTCATCTTCTAAAACAGTCCGACACCGTCTCTCCTTAATCTGCTTTTGATGACTTCTATCGAACCTGTTGCAAGGCCATTACCAAGGTGCCCCTTGGATGTTTCCCAAACCTCTCTCCACCACAGTCACTATATTGCCTCAGGGTTTGTCTCTTCACCCTGAGTGGATTGCCTCAGAAAATATCCTGTGTTGGTATTACAGTACAGTACTACTAAATTACGTTGATGGAACCAAAGCCTTCCGTCCATCCATCTATTAGGAGATTGTGTAGAGGATGTCCAGCAATAATATAACAACAAAAAACATCCAAGAACTCTGAGATTAAGAGAAGAAACCCCATAACACCCCCCTATAATGCCTCCCATTCATTAGAGTTGAATGAAGGTAGACCATATAAAATTGAATTTTCTGTCAGTGCTCAGTGTAGCGGCATCTCGGAGAAGCTGTGGATGGTTTTGTTTGTTTCAACACTGAAGGGCTACAGAGAGTACAATGAGTACAATGACACAAGCACCGCTGTGTGAGGATGGTGGGCTGGCGGGCGGGTCAGCGGTTCAGCGGGTGTGCAGGCAGGCAGGCGGGCTGGCGCGTGTCCTGCGTGCTGTGCTAGTCTCTCACCCCGGCCACTTCCTGTCATCCACAATGCCTCCAGATTTCCCCTGTCAATGGCTCATCTGTGGGGCTCCGTAATCGGAGGAGGACACTGATGTGTCCCGAGGCTTTCTTGACTCCAGCTAAATAACACAGACAAGAGAGCTGCACGCCACAGCAGCTAGAAGGTCACTCTAAGAATAGCACTAGCCCCAAAAACACAACAACACAAATAAATAACAAATTAACCATCAGCTACTCTGCTTAAAATCAATATTATGATTCATCTTAAAAAGATAGTGGGGCAATGTGGAAAATGGAAATTGAAACATGGAGAATGTGATTGGCTCTTTTTACGCTTGAGAGGATAGTGTTAAACCGTGCTCTGTTTTCAGTTCCTTTATTCTGTTAATGCGCTCAGAAGGAGACTAATGAATGTGGGGAGATCCTTTTGCAATAATGCTGATGATTAACTCAAATGCCCACAAACTAATGTCTGTGTTTGGTGGTGAACAAATCACATGGAAGAAAACAACAATGTCTGACTCACAACTAACTCTCAAACCCTCAAGTAATTTGCTTTCGTCGTCTTAGTATCCGTCTTTCTCGCTCTGCTCTCTCTCTCATGCTCTCTCTCTCTCTCTCATGCTCTCTCTATCCATGCCTCTCTCTCGCCTCTATTCCTTCTCTCTCATGCCTCCTAGCTCTCTCTCATGCGCTCTCTCGCTCTCCCCTCTCTCTCTCTCTCATGCTCTCTCTCTGATCTCTATCTCATGGCATCTAGCTCTCTCTCTCTCTGATCTCTCTCTATCATGGCTCTCTCTCTCTCGCTCTCTCTCTCTCTCTCTCTCTCTCTCTCTCCTCTTCATATCTCTCTCTCGTCTCTCCTCTCCTCATCTCTCTTCATGCCTCTCCTCTCTCTCAGTGTTCCCCCCCCCCCCCCCCCTCTCTGGTGGGTCGTTTTGTTTCTCCACTCTCAGACTGCTTGCCCTTGAAAAGCTGAGAAGCTAGTATCTTGGTTTGTCATCAGCAGCTGCAGGGAGCTGGATCAGGACACATAGGGCTCAGCAGGTAGACTTGTGGCCCTCGAGGGGCATTGATGATGTAGTGCGACACAGTGAAGGACTAAGCTTGTTGACGTTGCCAGAGAAGGAACACCAAATCAAAGCAGACACAGCCTCCTTATAAAGCAAACAACCACAGCGGTGGTATTTTATTCTATTTTTTCCACTAAGAGCATCACATTTCATCACAATTCACTCCAATTTCAACATGTCACTGAGAGCACATCATGTAAAATACATTAGAAAAATGATATGTCCGAAAATGGCTGTTCAGATATGGTGAGACAATCTGTTCCCCTGGCCACTGAGTGTACTCTGTTCTCCCTCAATGTGAATAAACCTCAGCCACAAACAGACATCTTGTTTCTCTGTGTCCTTGTGCTGCCCTAACGGACCTATTTTACAACAGGAACGGAACTCAATGAATCACTCAATCAAGTGACTCTAAAGTCTTTATGTGCTTTTGGCCAAACTTTAAATATAACTCAAGCTATGTGCTCTGAGAGCAAGTAGTCAAAATGTTCCATATCAGCACGGATGGAACGGTAGTTAAAATACAGAGGGCAATGGCATGATCCCTCCTCCTCCCCCTTGGAATACATTTTCACCAGATGGTGTGTATCAGAATCTTAAACCGAGGCAAGCACCACAATGGACTGCACCATTACCATAGCGGCTCCACTTTCCCTTGTCATGTAACAGAACAGCTGTTTGTTTATCTAACCAATAAGTCAAAAGAACAGAAAGAAACCCATTTAGTCCTGCATCTATTGCAAGCTAAAGGAGTCTAACTGTAGTCTACCTTCTCCAATCAATGTAATTCCCTCTCAGTCGTATAGACAGTGAGTGTTATTCCAAGACCTTGTGTTTTATCTTAGCTGTTTCACTGACTGACTTCAGAGCTGGTATTATCCCTGGGATCTGAAGCTACTGTGTGAATATAAAAGACAACAGCTGTCGGAGCAGCCGCGCACGGCAGACAGATAAAGTGCTGCTTTGTGAACTGCCTCCAAAAATAAACAGACCATTCTGTCCCTGGTTGGGTTACCAGGACGAGAACTCACGTCTGATGAAATAGCTATGAAGATGAAGTGTGCCAGGTTTCATCAGGTCAGAAAGACACAGACTGTGTGGCTCCATTCAGTTTATCTTCTCCATACACAGCTTTACACTTTCAACAGGTCAGGTTACATTTCACTATCTACAAATGCAATAGTTTACATGATAAATAGGCTACTTAAAATAGTATCTCAAACATAACCCCTGGATAAGGGCTAAATGCCGAAAGGAGTTGGTTCCGTTGTCATCCAAGACTTTATGTACATCTTCCACATTGCTCCTTTCGGCATCCAGGCTCTGTCGTAGCCGGCCGCGACCGGGAGACCCATGGGGCGACGCACAATTGGCCCAGCGTCGTCCAGTGTAGGGGAGGGAATGGCCGGCAGGGATGTAGCTCAGTTGGTAGAGCATGGCGTTTGCAACGCCAGGGTTATGGGTTCGATTCCCACGGGGGGCCAGTATAAAAAATAATTCTAAAAAAAATAATGTATGCACTCACTAAACTGTAAGTCGCTCTGGATAAGTCGCTCCTGAGTGGCGCAGTGGTCTAAGGCACTGCATCGCAGTGCTAACTGTGCCACTAGAGATCCTGGGTCGAATCCAGGCTCTGTCGCAGCCGGCCGCGACCGGGAGACCCATGGGCGGCGCACAATTGGCCCAGCGTCGTCCAGGGTAGGGGAGGGAATGGCCGGCAGGGATGTAGCTCAGTTGATAGAGCATGGCGTTTGCAATGCCAGGGTTGTGGGGTTGATTCCCACGGGGGGCCAGTATAAAAAAAAAAAATGTGTATTCACTAAACTGTAAGTCGCTCTGGATAAGAGCGTCTGCTAAATGACTAAAATGTAAATGTAAAAATGATAAGAGCGTCTGCTAATTGACTAAAATGTAAATGTAAAATGTAGTTTGGATCACTATACTGTTTTTGAAAAAAATTATATGCTATCTGTAACCATCATGTCTGCCATCTGTAACCTAACCATCATATGTGTAATGACACCATTATTAAAAGCAATGATCAAAAGGAGTTGTAATAATAAATGCATCATACATTATGTTCCCTTCTCAGTTAAATGGATTACTAACAGGATGTACAACATTGCCTTAAAAATATTGCCTTAAAAATATTGAGTCGTAATCTAAAGAAAATACCAGACATAATTGCTCTACTAAAGCATATCTGATACAATCATTTTTCGTTTCTTTAGGCCAGGGTGATTGTCCTAAACAGATGGAATGTAGCCAAGAAAGATCCATTCTGCGCGATCAATATCCATTTAAAACGAATAACCTAAATAAATGTAGTATCTTTTTAAGATCTTTCTTAATTTGCACTCTCTCCCTCCAGAAGCCAAAAAGACTCTTGCCACATTTCTGACAATGGTAACTGATAATGTTTCCTCTGGTTAGCACTTCTTCTTCTGTAGCTGCCATTTAGGGGAAATAACTGCTTAAATGCCAGTATATCTTCTTGACTGATTAAACATTGTGATTTATGGATTGGCCTTTAGTTTTACATACATTATTTTCCCCTAGAGGAGACTTGTCAGCCATTTCCCTTGCAAACACAGACGTTTGAATGACCATACATTTTGTGCAGGCCAAAGGTAAAGCTCCCTGTCAGGCTGTAGGCCAGAGAATATCACAGTAACTTCCCAACGAATTCATGCATTTCCATACAAGCCTCCTGACACACCACCACACGTTATAAACATTCAACTCCAAACTGCTTCTAACAAGCCTCTGGTACTAGCTTCACTGTAGAGGAGCCATTTTCCTCAGGAGCCAAATTCATTTCCTGCTTTGGAATCCAACCAACAAACAATGTGTGCATGCATAATGCATATGTTTCCCTCTGTTATGGATTAGGCACATAGTATTTTAATTCACCAGGGTGTGTGCACGCTGCATGTGTCAGAAATCAGAAGAGGGGGGGATATGGAAAAGGGGGATGGGCCTCCTTGAGTAAACCACATTCAGAACAGGGAAGCTCAGAGAGAGAGAGAGAGAGAGAGAGAGAGAGAGAGGAGAGAGAGAGAGAGAGAGAGAGAGAGAGAGAGAGAGAGAGAGAGAAAGAGAAAGACTGTTACCCGACACGGTCCTGACGATCTCGCTGGTGTTCCTCAGGCCAACGAAGGAGAACTGGTAGAGCCTCCAGGAGCGGATGTCTCCCACCTCCACGGAGCTCCTCTTCCACTTGTACACTATCTCCTCTCTGGGGTAGCCATCTGGACAGAGGGAGGGGGGAGAGACAGTTAGCTCTGGACATTACTACCTGTGGTGGTCTATGTCTGAATCCATCCAATATTAAAACGTGTTAAACAAGTCATGTGTAACGCTATGTACTTCTATACTACTCCAACGGTAATTAGGTATAAGGTGACTTTAATGTGGACATAGCGAATATTCAGGAACATCGTAAGGTGCAATCCTAAATAGTGACTGGACACTAATAACATCTGATAACAACTGACCTTGAGTCAAGTCTCTGCTGATTTCTGTCCAGAGAAGAACACTACAATGTATAGGCCTACATCATGCTAAATGGGGTGGTTTAATGCACATTAGCTTTCCCAAGTGCAAGCTGTAATGGGCCTTTTAGTTGAATAGCCCACAGATATCCTGTAACAGATATCCTGTAACAGTAAACCTCTGAGATACTTAGGATGGACGGTTGTAGTCTTTATTTGATGCCCACATTAAAACTAGAACCGCTAAGGCAGTCATTTTGACTGCTTATGATTTATTTTATGTTATTACTCTGCCATTTTGAAAGTCATGCCTAAATAAGTCTATATAACACACTGCCGTTGTCAGAATCGTAATATCGCAAACAGAACTGGAGTTATAACCAGTTTTAAGAGGGCATGTCATTATTTGAATGGTTTCTCCCCCGTTGCCCCTCCTTCTCCCAACAGTAGGGCCTGCTCCGCTCCTTCTCCCAACAGTATGGCCTGCATCGCTCCTTCTCCCAACAGTAGGGCCTGCTCCGCTCCTTCTCCCAACAGTATGGCCTGCATCGCTCCTTCTCCCAACAGTAGGGCCTGCTCCGCTCCTTCTCCCAACAGTAGGGCCTGCTCCGCTCCTTCTCCCAACAGTAGGGCCTGCTCCCCTGCTTCTCCCAACAGTAGGGCCTGCTCCGCTCCTTCTCCCAACAGTAGGGCCTGCTCCGCTCATTCTCCCAACAGTAGGGCCTGCTCCCCTGCTTCTCCCAACAGTAGGGCCTGCTCCGCTCCTTCTTCAGACAGTTGAAAGTGCAGTGCGCAGCTGATAATCACCCCGAGATTTGCCTCGAAACTGAACCTAACCTATACCGAAACTAATTTCACACATTTAACTACAGATGAAATAATGTGAATGAAGAACAGGGCGGGACATTCTGTAGTATTGATCCAGTCTAATTATAGGCCTAATATCAACATGGTATGTACCCTATATCAGTTCACTGAATCAAAGCAGTCTTATCAGTCTACTCTGGCCTACTTGGAGTAGGCTACACAGCGAGAGTAATGCTGAAAGGCTTTTAATATCTGGGAAAAGGTCCACATCGTGCAGCAGGTGAGCGAGTGTCGGAGAATGTGGTGATAAGGCTTGTGGAACCTTACGTTGGCAAGGGGAGAAATATCACTATGGACAATTTATTTACTTCACTGTCATTAGAGAACAAGTTGCTTGCAAAGAAAACAAGTCTGGCCGGCACCATGAACAAAGTGAGTCGGGAGCTCCCTCCCTCTGCGCAAAATAAGGCACCAACCCAGCCGTTGTATTCCACCATGGTGCTGAAGAATGACAAGACAACAGGACACAATAAAGAGAAAACCGGAGACTATTATGCACTACAACCAGACAAATGTGTGTCAAGGTGTGTCAAGGTGTGTCAAGGTATGTCAAGGTGTGTCAAGGTGTGTCAAGGTATGTCAAGGTGTGTCAAGGTGTGTCAAGGTGTGTCAAGGTATGTCAAGGTGTGTCAAGGTGTGTCAAGGTGTGTCAAGGTAAATAAATAATAAATAATATGCCATTTAGCAGACGCTTTTATCCAAAGCGACTTACAGTCATGCGTGCATACATTTTTTGTGTATGGGTGGTCCCGGGGATCGAACCCACTACTTTGGCGTTACAAGCGCCGTGCTCTACCAGCTGAGCTACAGAGGACCACGGTGTGTACAATACAAGGTGTATCAAGGTGTGTCAAGGTGTGTCAAGGTGTGTCAAGCAAGTGAAAGTTACAAAGATTTGTGCCGACTGTTAGGCCAAGGGATAACAGCTAAATGAAATCCAACTGATGCCATTGCGTGAAGATGCACAAAAGCACGATATAATTGAAAATGTTTGACTGCTGTCATATCTACACATACAGTGCCTTCAGAAAGTATTCAGACCCCTTGACTTTTTCCCAAAAAAAATTACGTTACAGCCTTATTCTAAAATGGATTAAATAAAAATCAGCAATCTACACACAATACCCCATAATGACAAAGCGAAAACAGGTTTTTAGGAATTTCTGCTAATTTATAAAAAAAATAAAAACAGAAATACCTTATTTACATACCCTTTGCTATGAGACTTGAAATTGAGCTCAGGTGCATCCTGTTTCCATTGATCATCCTTGAGATGTTTCTACAACTTGATTGGAGTCCACCTGTGGTATATTCAATTGATTGGACATGATTTGGAAAGGCACACACCTGTCTATATAAGGTCCCACAGTTGACAGTGCATGTTAGAGCAAAAACCAAGCCATGAGGTCGAAGGAATTGTCCGTAGAGCTCAGAGACAGGATTGTGTCGAGGTACAGATCTGGGGAAGGGTACCAATACATTTCTGCAGCATTGAAGGTCCCCAATAACACAGTGGCCTCCATCATTCTTAAATGGAAGAAGTTTGGATCCACCAAGACTCTTCCTAGAGCTGGCCGCCTGGTCAAACTGAGCAATCGGGGGAGAAGGGCCTTGGTCAGGGAGGTGACCAAGAACCCAATGGTCACTCTGACAGAGCTCTAGAGTTCCTCTGTGGAGATGGGAGAACCTTCCAAAAGGACAACCATCTCTGCAGCATTCCACCAATCAGGCCTTTATGGTAGAGTGGCCAGACGGAAGCCACTCCTCAGTAAAAGGCACATGACAGCCCGCTTGGAGTTTGCCAAAAGGCACCTAAAGATTCTCAGACCATGAAAAACAAGATTCTCTGGTCTGATTAAACCAAGATTGAACTCTTTGGCCTGAAAGCCAAGCGTCACGTCTGGAGGAAACCTGGCACCATCCCTGCGGTGAAGCATGGTGGTGGCAGCATCATGCTGTGGCGATGTTTTCAACGGCAGCGACTGGGAGACTAGTCAGGATCGAGGAAAAGATGAACGGAGAAAAGTACAGAGAGATCCTTGATGCAAACCTGCTCCAGAGCGCTCAGGACCTCAGACTGGGGTGAAGGTTCACCTTCCAACAGGACAACGACCCTAAGCACACAGCCTACTACGCAGGAGTGGCTTCGGGACAAGTCTCTGAATGTCCTTGAGTGGCCCAGCCAGAGCCCAGACTTGAACCCAATCTAACATCTCTGGAGAGACCTGACAATAGCTGTGCAGCGAAGCTCCCCATCCAACCTGACAGTACTAAGTAAAGGGTCTGAATACTTATGTAAATGTGATATTTCAGTTCTTTATTTTTAATACATTTGCTAAAATTTCTAAAAACCTGTTTTGGCTTTGTCATTATGGGTATTGTGTGTAGATTGACGAGGAACATAAAAAAAAAAATCCATTTTAGAATAAGGCTGTAACGTAACAAAATGTGGAAAAAGTCAAGGGGTCTGAATACTTTCCGAAGGCACATTCATTCTAAATGCCTTTATTGATTTTGTGCCGAGTTTCACTATTCATCAAGGCCACTTGGGGCTTATAATGATGTTTAGGCTACTGATGTTTTCATCATTTGACCACGTGTCTTTTGACTGTGTGTCTTGGAGGTTGGGGTATTTTATATTTTATTTTGTAGTTATAAAAAGAAGCTGTTACCATGTTCATACGCATATATTTTCTGTTTGATAGTTGTAACAAAGGCATTCCACGAATAATATTTATTGAACACCGGAAGTTTAGTTTTTTAGTTTTTACATATACAGTTGAAGTCGGAAGTTTACATACACCTTAGCCAAATACATTAAACTCAGTTTTTCACAATTCCTGACATTTAATCCCAGTAAAAAATGCCCTGTTTTAGGTCAGTTAGGATCACCACTATATTTTAAGAATGTGAAATGTCAGAATAATAGCAGAGAGAATGATTTAGTTCAGCTTTTATTTCTTTCATCACATTCTCAGTGGGTCAGAAGTTTACATACACTCAATTAGTATTTGGTAGCATTGCCTTTAAATTGTTTAACTTGGGTCAAGCGTTTCGAGTAGCCTTCCACAAGCTTCCCACAATAAGTTGGGTGAATTTTGGCCCATTCCTCCTGACAGAGCTGGTATAACTGAGTCAGGTTTGTAGGCCTCCTTGCTCGCACACGCCTTTTCAGTTCTGCCCACACATTTTCTATAGGATTGAGGTCAGGGATTTGTGATGGCCACTCCAATACCTTGATTTTGTTGTCCTTTAGCCATTTTGCCACAACTTTGGAAGTATGCTTGGGGTCATTGTCCATTTGGAAGACCCATTTGCGACCAAGCTTTAACTTCCTGACTGATGTCTTGAGATGTTGCTTCAATATATCCACATAATTTTCCTTCCTCATGATGCCATCTATTTTGTGAAGTGCACCAGTCCCTCCTGCAGCAAAGCACCCCCACAGCATGATGCTGCCACCCCTGTGCTTCATGGTTGGGATGGTATTCGTCGGCTTGCAAGCCTTCCCCTTTTCCTCCAAACATAACCATGGTCATTATGGCCAAACATTTCTATTTTTGTTTCATCAGACCAGAGGACATTTCTCCAAAAAGTACGATCTTTGTCCCCATGTGCAGTTGCAAACCGTAGTCTGGCTTTTTTATGGCGGTTTTGGAGCAGTGGCTTCTTCCTTGCTGAGCGGCCTTTCAGGTTATGTCGATCTAGGACTCGTTTTTACTGTGGATATAGATACTTTTGTACCTGTTTTCCTCCAGCATCTTCACAAGGTCCTTTGCTGTTGTTCTGGGATTGATTTGCACTTTTCGCACCAAAGTACGTTCATCTCTAGGAGACAGAACTCGTCTCCTTCCTGAGCGGTATGATGGCTGCGTGGTCCCATGGTGTTTATACTTGCGTACTATTGTTTGTACAGATGAACGTGGTACCTTCAGGCGTTTGGAAATTGCTCCCAAGGATGAACCAGAGTTGTGGAGGTCTACATTTTCTTTTCTGAGGTCTTGGCTGATTTCTTTTGATTTTCCCATGATGTTAAGCAAATAAGCACTGAGTTTGAAGGTAGGCCTTGAATGACATCCACAGGTACACCTCCAATTGACTCAAATGATGTCAATTAGCCTATCAGAAGCTTCTAAAGCCTTGACATCATTTTCTGGAATTTTCCAAGCTGTTTAAAGGCAAAGTCAACTTAGTATGTAAACTTCTGACCCAGTGGAATTGTGATACAGTGAATTATAAGTGAAATAATCTGTCTGTAACAATTGTTGGAAAAATTACTTGTGTCATGCACAAAGTAGATGTCCTAACCGACATGCCAAAACTATGGTTTGTTAACAAGAAATTTGTGGAGTGGTTGAAAAACGAGTTTTAATGACTCCAACCTAAGTGTATGTAAACTTCTGACTTCAAGTGCCTTGAAAAAGTATTCATCCCCCTTGGCGTTTTTCATTTTTTTGTTTTTTTTTGTTTTATTACAACCTGTAATTTAAATGGATTTTTATTTGGATTTCATGTAATGGACATACAGAAAACAGTCCAAATTGGTGAAGTGAAATTAAAAGAATAACTTTTAATAATGGAAAAAAAATTACGGAAAAGTGGTGCGTGCATATGTATTCACCCCCTTTGCTATGAAGCCCCTAAATAAGACCTGGTCAACCAATTACCTTCAGAAGTCACATAATTAGTTAAATAAAGTCCACTTCTGTGCAATCTAAGTGTCACATGATCTCAGTATATATACACATGTTCTGAAAGGCCCCAGAGTCTGCAACTCAACTAAGCAAGAGGCACCACCAAGCAAGCGGCACCGTGAAGACCAAGGAGCTCTCCAAACAGGTCAGGGACAAAGTTGTAGAGAAGTACAGATCAGGGTTGGGTTATAAAAAAAATATCACAAACTTTGAACATCCCACGGAGCACCATTAAATCCATTACAAAAAAATGGAAAGAATATGGCACCACAACAAACCTGCCAAGAGAGGGCCGCCCATCAAAACTCACGGACCAGGCAAGGAGGGCATTAATCAGAGAGGCAACAAAGAGACCAAAGATCACCCTGAAGGAGCTGCAAAGTTCCACATCGGAGATTGGAGTATCTGTCCATAGGACCACTTTAAGCCGTACACGCCACAGAGCTGGGCTTTACAGAAGAGTGGCCAGAAAAAAGCCATTGCTTAAAGAAAAAAATAAGCAAACACGTTTGGTGTTCGCCAAAAGGCATGTGGGAGACTCCCCAAACATATGGTAGAAGGTACTCTGGTCAGATGAGACTACAATTGAGCTTTTTGGCCATCAAGGAAAACGCTATGTCTGCCGCAAACCCAACACCTCTCATCACCCCGAGAACACCATCCCCACAGTGAAGCATGGTGGTGGCAGCATCATGCTGTGGGGATGTTTTTCATCAGCAGGGACTGGGAAACTGGTCAGAATTGAAGGAATGATGGATGGCGCAAAATACAGTGAAATTCTTAAGGGAAACCTGTTTCAGTCTTCCAGAGATTTGAGACTGGGACAGAGGTTCACCTTCCAGCAGGACAATGACCCTAAGCATACTGCTAAAGCAACACTCAAGTGGTTTAAGGGGAAATATTTAAATGTCTTGGAATGGCCTAGTCAAAGCCCAGACCTCAATCCAATTGAGAATCTGTGGTATGACTTAAAGATTGCTGTACACCAGTGGAACCCATCCAACTTGAAGGAGCTGGAGCAGTTTTGCCTTGAAGAATGGGCAAAAATCCCAGTGGCTAGATGTGCCAAGCTTCTAGAGACATACCCCAAGAGACTTGAAGCTGTAATTGCTGCAAAAGGTTGCGGTACATAGTATTGACTTTGGGGGGGGGGGAATAGTTATGAACGCTCAAGTTTTCTGTTTTTTGTCTTAGTTCATGTTTGTTTCACAATAAAAAATATTTAGCATCTTCAAAGTGGTAGGCATGTTGTATAAATCAAATGATACAAACACCAAAAAAATCTATTTTAATTCCAGGTTGTAAAGCAACAAAATAGGAAAAATGCCAAGGGGGGTGAATACTTTCACAAGCCACTGTAGCCTACAGTAACATAAACTAATGAAAATGCTATATATATATTTTTTCTAAAATACAAATTGTATTCTTATGTTACCCAAGGCCTTCATAAACACAACCAAATTATAATTTTTATGTTCGCTGCTCTGGCACCCCAATGGTGGAACAAGCTCCCTCACAACGCCAGGACAGCGGAGTCACTCACCACCTTCCGGAAACATTTGAAACCCCACCTCTTTAAGGAACACCTGGGATAGGATAAAGTAATCCCCCCCTTACCCCACCCCACCCCCCCCAAAAAAAGAAAAAGAAAAAAAAGAATGCACCAATTTGTAAGTCGCTCTGGATAAGAGCGTCTGCTAAATGACGTAAATGTAAATGTAGCTTGAAGGGGGGTCAATGGAGGCCCAGGGTTTCTAGTGTTAAGGCCATTCCTTCCAGAGATCCTTCCATGGCTGTGCTTTCAGGAAACATTACTGGCTCAAATCTCTTTTGTCAGGGAGGGTGTGAAGCAATTAGAACCATACAAAATGGTTGCACTGAAACTGTCGTGTGGTACTCTTTCTCAGCGTGTGGTGAAAAAATATGCTGCAACGTGTGCTGCAACTGAGGGAAGCTCATGCACTTCAAACTAATTTCAGCCGCTGGCTTTCATACATTTAAAATGTTTTTTCTGTTCTGATTTTAGGGCTACAACTCCCATTTTTATTTTGTTGTTGCTCTAGACCTATTTAGGAACCTCTCTCTCTCTCTCCGTCACATGGTCATCGTAGCTCCCTAACAGGATCATTACCATAAACCCCTCCCCATCAGCTCCCCATGCGGAACACTGATTTCTCTGGCTGTGGGCTGTGGTCTCTCTGTACTAGTCTCTCTCACCAACCCTGCCTGGTTACTGTACTGGTCTCTCTCACCAACCCTGTCTGGTTACTGTACTGGTCTCTCTCACCAACCCTGTCTGCTGGTTACTGTACTGGTCTCTCTCACCAACCCTGTCTGGTTAATGTACTAGTCTCTCTCACCAACCCTGTCTGTCTGGTTACTGTACTGGTCTCTCTCACCAACCCTGTCTGGTTACTGTACTGGTCTATCTCACCAACCCTGTCTGTCTGGTTACTGTACTGGTCTCTCTCACCAACCCTGTCTGGTTAATGTACTGGTCTCTCTCACCAACCCTGTCTGGTTACTGTACTGGTCTATCTCACCAACCCTGTCTGTCTGGTTACTGTACTGGTCTCTCTCACCAACCCTGTCTGCCTGATTACTGTATTGGTCTCTCTCACCAACCCCGTCTGCCTGGTTACAGTACCTGATCTCAACTGCTACGGTTTGGAGGTTAATGTTATACTCCCCCTTTCATTGTATTGCTTCTCCCCTCTCTTACTGCTTTCTCTCTCCCTTTTCCCTCTCTCACAATAGAAAAGGGCTAAAAACACAGCAGCATGTTGTGCACTGTGCTGATGTCTTCATAGTATAGTGCTTGTTCTTGGCTGCCGCTGCTGTTGGAAGCAGGCATGTGGAGGCCATGGGGAGAGAGAGAGAGAGAGAGAGAGAGAGAGAGAGTGTGTGTGTGAGCGAGAGAGACAAGAGTGAGAGCGACGGTGGTGTAGCAGAGAGCAGACTTACAGCTCGAAAACTCCAGCGGACAGGAGTGCTCATCCATTGGGAAGTTGTTCAGTTTAAGCTGGCACTCGGCATCAATAGTCAACCTACAAACATAAAAACACAGTTTACATCTGCTGTGCTGGTCAGGTTGTCAACAAAACATCTAACATATTATGTTATGTAACTCTCCTGTCTGATTTCTACTGTTCAGTGGACTTAAAAGTGAAACTCATTAAACCTTCCTATTGACAAAATGGGCAATACTGGCATTACCCATCCATGCGCTTCCTTTTCTTATGTGTCATTCTATTCAGCATTAGGACATTATAATTAGCCATTGGTGAGGTTGGAGTTCCCTAATGAATTAATGAACTGTGGTTGCATTCTGGGAGAACATCAATCACTGCTGGGTTGAGGAGTCCAGTCCACCAAAGTTAATCTTCTCAATAGACAGTGTGAGGGAGAGTTAGCTAGCTAGCCAGGCTGAAGCTACTCTTCTTTCTTAACCAGAGGCACCAAATTAGGATGATTCATGTGGTCCGAAGCGCAATCCGTCAAGCTCAATCAACTACTGCCTGTCAAATACAGTCAACTGGAAACCGTCTCTGTTTCCTCATTTGTGTCAGAGTCACCCAGCGGTGCTTCTTCATTGGACAACATCTCACCGCAGTGTGTAAAGTATCCGTCCGTCGTTCCAGATCCGGAGCATACGATTGGGTGTGGTGATCCAGTGGGCGTCGGCCTTTTTGGAGTTGCGGAAGAAGGTGTCAGGGATCCAGATCTTGCCCACCATGTTGCTGTTGAGACGCAATACCTTCATGGTACTGTTGAACTTTAACCTCCGGTCGTACCATGTCTGGGCAAAAAATATGTCGATGGTGTACTCCTGCGGAGGGAAAAAAAACACAGGCTCGATTCAATTAAACCCGCAGTGCGGTATTATACAAGGTCAAATGAGATCAGAGAATGTTTTTTACTACTGTAGGAACCTAATATTACTAGGTAGACCCCACTCACAGGTATATGCATCCCGTTTTCAGAATAAGAAGTATGTACACAAGCAGTAGTATATAGACACTTCCTAATTACCCATCCCTATGACAGTTGAGTGGATTCCATCCATAGTCATCATTTGAAGAGTTTCATTTCCAAAATGCTATGTATACAGTACCAGTCAAAAGTTTGGACACACCTACTCATTCCAGGGTTTTTCTTTATTTTTACTATTTTCTACATTGTAGAATAATAGTAAAGACATCCAAACTATGAAATAACACATATGGAATCATGTAGTAACCAAAAAAGTGTTAAACAAATCAAAATATATTTTATATTTCAGATTCTTCAAAGTAGCCACCCTTTGCCTTGATGACAGCTTTGCACACTATTGGCATTCTCTCAACCAGCTTCATGAAGTAGTCACCTGGAATGCATTTCAATTAACTTGTTAAAAGTTAATTTGTGGAATTTCTTTCCTTCTTAACGTGTTTGAGCCAATCAGTTGTGTTGTGACAAGGTAGGGGTGGTATACAGAAGATATCCCTATTTGGTAAAATACCAAATGTAGAAAATAGTAAAAATGTAGAAAAAAAAAAAAAAAATAAAGAAAAACCCTTGAATGAGTAGGTGTGTCCAAACTTTTGACAGGTACTGTATGTTTTCAGAAATGTTGGTAAATTAGGTTTTATTGTTTAAAGAAATTATGAAAGAGATTGGTGTGTTTTTCCCCTATCTAATCATGGCATGGGGTTGTTCAATGACAGCCATGTATTTGTTTAAAATCACTTGATGGTTTCATTTCAAAGAGACAAATAATCATGTTTTTTGTGTGTAAATGCTATATCCGCCTCACTCACAGAGGAATAAGTAGTACTACTAGGTTTTACACAGTCAAATGTAACACATAACTACATTTTAATAAAGAAATGTACAAATGCTACATATGAGATCTGTACGTAAAACATTTACATTTGACATTTTAGTCATTCTCCTCTGAATCATTCAGATGTTCATTGGCAAACTTCAGACGGGCATGTATATGTGCTTTCTTGAGCAGGGGGACCTTGCGGGCGCTGCAGGATTTCAGTCCTTCACGGCGTAGTGTGTTACCAATTGTTTTCTTGGTGACTATGGTCCCAGCTGCCTTGAGATCATTGACAAGATCCTCCCGTGTAGTTCTGGGCTGATTCCTTACCGATCTCATGATCATTGCAACTCCACGAGGTGAGATCTTGCATGGAGCCCCAGGCCGAGGGAGATTGACAGTTATTTTGTGTTTCTTCCATTTGCGAATAATCGCACCAACTGTTGTCACCTTCTCACCAAACTGCTTGGCGATGGTCTTGTAGCCCATTCAAGCCTTGTGTAGGTCTACAATCTTGTCCCTGACATCCTTGGAGAGGTCTTGGCCATGGTGGAGAGTTTGGAATGTGATTGATTGATTGCTTCTGTGGACAGGTGACTTTTATACAGGTAACACGCTGAGATTAGGAGCACTCCCTTTAAGAGTGTGCTCATAATCTCAGCTCGTTACCTGTATAAAAGACACCTGGAAGCCAGACATCTTTCTGATTGAGAGGGGGTCAAATACTTACTTCCCTCATTAAAATGCAAATCAATTTAGTAACATTTTTGACATGCGTTTTTCTGGATTTTTTTGTTGTTATTCTGTCTCTCACTGTTCAAATAAACCTACCATTAAAATGATAGACTGATCATTTATTTGTCAGTGGGCAAACGTAGAAAATCAGCAGGGGATCAAATATTTTTTTCCCTCACTGTAAACTTCCGACTTCAACTGTATGTATTCACCCCCTTTGCTATGAAGCCCCTAAATTAGATCTGGTGCAACCAATTACCTTCAGAAGTTACATAATTAGTTAAATAAAGTCCACCTGTGTGCAATCTAAGTGTCATATGGTGGTCCCGTGTAGCTTAGTTGGTAGAGCATGGCGTTTGCAACGCCAGGGTTGTGGGTTCGATTCCCACGGGGGGGCCAGTATGAAAATGTATGCACTCACTAACTGTAAGTCGCTCTGGATAAGAGCGTCTACTAAAATGTCAATGTAATTTAGCAAATGCTCTTATCCAGAGCGCCTTGCAGTAAGTGCATTCATCTTAAGATAGCTAGGTGAGACGACCACATATTACAGTCAAATATACAGGATACGAACATTGCATTCCAGCTAAACAATGGATATAAAATATATATATATAAAAAAAAAAAAAAAAAGTCATACATATCTAAAATCTATTAATAAAAAATCTGAGATCAGTAATATTTTATACACACGTGTGTAAATGTGAAACATTTGTGGATATAGCGTTTTGGAACAAAACTCTTCATTTATAAACACGTAAAATTCTGTGTTGAAATTTAACAATGAATAAAATCACTACTGTAGAACACCCTAAGATCCTTAACTGGATCGGAATGCCCTGAGACCCTTAACAGGAACGAGTGTCCTCCAGAACATTGAATACACTCTCCAGGTTCCACCGAAACCGTTTATACTGAGGGCAGTTTTACATTCTACATGGTAAAACTGCTGTCTGGGATACATTGGCAGAGCACTTTCTCAAAGCAAAATGGCTTCCTTTCAGGCCATGAATCCTTTGTCCCTATCAAAGAATGCAGCTGAACTGGGCCATCTTGGGCCCCTCAACCTGAAAATTAAACGTTTAACGGGGCAATTAATGGCTTCCCTTGTTTAGCAGAAGCATTGTTTAACCTCATAACCTCCCTGAGAAGCACTTTGCTCTCACTCCGACAAAATCCTTCCTGCAGTGCGGGTAGAGAAAAACTGAAGTGCAGGCAGAGGAAAATGTGTGTGTGAGAGGACATTGCACAAAGCCTAACAATAAAGCCCAAATCCACAACAAAGAGTCATAAACAAGATAAAAAGCAACTCTGTTACCCGGCACACATTTATGCAAATTCAATGGGCTATTATTGTAATTTTTTACCGGACAGCCCAAAGCCAATGACATGGCTCTCTTGGCCTTTTTATTTTGGCCTGGCCAAGAGGGAGCTGAAATGTACTGCCAATCCCACCTCTGTTTCTCAACACAGTAGAGGGGTCCATTCCATTCCACCCAGTCTGAGCTGTCTCTGAGCTAATCAGCTTTCACAGTAAAAACAACAAGTATAATAATTTACATTTAACATTTAAGTCATTTAGCAGACGCGCTTAGCCAGAGCGACTTACAGGAGCAATTACGGTTAAGTGCCTTGCTCAAGGGCACAATGGCAGATTTTTTACCTAGTCGGCTCAGGATTCGAACCAGCAACCTTTAATAAAGACGTATTATGCATAGCATATATACAGTGAGGGAAAAAACTATTTGATCCCCTGCTGATTTTGTACGTTTGCCCACTGACAAAGAAATAATCAGTCTATAATTTTAATGGTAGGTTTATTTGAACAGTGAGAGACAGAATAACAACAAAAGAATCCAGAAAAACACATGTCAAAAATTTTAGAAATTGATTTGCCATTTTAATGAAGGAAATAAGTATTTGACCCCTCTGCAAAACATTACTTAGTACTTGGTGGCAAAACCCTTGTTGGCAATCACAGAGGTCAGACGTTTCTTGTAGTTGGCCACCAGGTTTGCACACATCTCAGTAGGGATTTTGTCCCACTTGTCTTTGCAGATCTTCTCCAAGTCATTAAGGTTTCGAGGCTGACGTTTGGCAACTCGAACCTTCAGCTCCCTCCACAGATTTTCTATGGGATTAAGGTCTGGAGACTGGCTAGGCCACTCCAGGACCTTAATGTGCTTCTTCTTGAGCCACTCCTTTGTTTCCTTGGCCGTGTGTTTTGGGTCATTGTCATGCTGGATTACCCATCCACAACCCATTTTCAATGCCCTGGCTGATGGAAGGAGGTTCTCACCCAAGATTTGACGGTACATGGCCCCCGTCCATCGGCCCTTTGATGCGGTGAAGTTGTCCTGTCCCCTTAGCAGAAAAACACCCCCAAAGCATAATGTATACACCTCCATGTTTGACGGTGGGGATGGTGTTCTTGGGGTCATAGGCAGCATTCCTCCTACTCCAAACACGGCGAGTTGAGTTGATGCCAAAGAGCTCGATTTTGGTCTCATCTGACCACAACACTTTCACCCAGTTCTCCTCTGAATCATTCAGATGTTCATTGGCAAACTTCAGACGGGCATGTATATGTGCTTTCTTGAGCAGGGGGACCTTGCGGGCGCTGCAGGATTTCAGTCCTTCACGGCGTAGTGTGTTACCAATTGTTTTCTTGGTGACTATGGTCCCAGCTGCCTTGAGATCATTGACAAGATCCTCCCGTGTAGTTCTGGGCTGATTCCTCACCGTTCTCATGATCATTGCAACTCCACGAGGTGAGATCTTGCATGGAGCCCCAAGCCGAGGGAGATTGACAGTTATTTTGTGTTCCTACCATTTGCGAATAATCGCACCAACTGTTGTCACCTTCTCACCAAGCTGCTTGGCGATGGTCTTGTAGCCCATTCCAGCCTTGTGTAGGTCTACAATCTTGTCCCTGACATCCTTGGAGAGCTCTTTGGTCTTGGCCATGGTGGAGAATTTGGAATTTGATTGATTGATTGCTTCTGTGGACAGGTGTCTTTTATACAGGTAACAAACTGAGATTAGGAGCACTCCCTTTAAGAGTGTGCTCCTAATCTCAGCACGTTACCTGTATAAAAGACACCTGGGAGCCAGAAATCTTTCTGATTGAGAGGGGGTCAAATACTTATTTCCCTCATTAAAATGCAAATCAATTTATAACATTTTTGACATGCCTTTTTCTGGATTTGTTTTATTTATTC